TATCTATCTATCTATCTATCTATCTATCTATCTATCTATCTATCTATCTATCTATTTCTCCCACTTTTTTTCTGACATTTTCCTTCTCCTTGTCTCTTTTTTGTTTCTTTTACTCTGTCCCCAAGGTCTAGCCCCCCTCCTTGCCCTATCCTCACAATCCCCCTCTGCCCCTCTCTCTCTCTCTCTCTCTCTCTCTCTCTCTCTCTCTCCTTCTCCTTCTCCCCCCTCTCTCTCCTTTCTTTCTTTCGCCCTTTTTCTCTCAAAACATCAGCACAGAGCGAGCTCTTAGAGTCCTCAGTTATGAGAACCATGATCTCGACACTCTAAACCTAATCCTACACTCACTCCTCAGGTCCTGCCCCGTGCGGCTTTCCTCAACTCCAATGACGTATTCCTCATAGAGTCCGATCACAGCGTCATCATTTGGTATGGCAAGGTAAAAAACAAGCAACTAACTCTGAATGTTTTGCGTCAGCATTAACATATTGTAGATCATTTAAGAGGCAGGTGGCTTCAAATCTGTCTCTTTGGATTAACCTGGGTTAACAGGGGCATAACGTTCCAGGAAGAAGACAGGTATACTAGATAAAAATAAAGATGCTCCCAACTCGACGGTTATCTTGGAAAAGTTCAAATTTATCATTTTTCACTTTAGTTTGTGTGGGATTTCTGGCCACTTACTGCGGACGGTATCGAGGGGTTTTATTGTAAACTATATTTGTTTTAACCGAAATTTGGATATGTTTTACCACATTAAGAAGGCGGGCAGTTTCGACTGTGCCTGACAGAGGCAGCCTTAGCGATGAGGATGGGATATTACGAACCACAGAGACAACGGAGATACATGATGAACTTGCTGTGATATATCATTCCCAAAGGGGGAACGTTACGGCGTCACTTTTGGAGACTCTTGTAAATAGAGCATTTTTTGCATGATATATGTATTCATTAGATGTCCATGTCTTTCTATTTGAATAAAACGTAGATATCTCTTTGTGTCCTCAGGGAGCCAGCCCTGACGAATGTTTGTTGGCCAAGAACTTGACAGGCTATCTATTCCCAGACAGGTTAGTCTTAATGTCCACTCCAATTCTTATAATGCTTCCTTGGTGAATTTGGAAAAATTTCCCCAGTAAATAGAGTCAGTAAGCGAGCCCTGTTAGCTCCCTTGGCATCATGCTGGTCTACGGAGCAGGATGTCCAGGTTCGAGTCTCTGGACTGAGCGTCGTTTTGTGCAGTTTTTGAAGCCATTAATTGGTTTGATCCTATCGGAGATGGGCGTTAAATTTAGAAGTCCCGCCTCTTAAAAAATAAACTAATATGTAGTGTTGAAAGGGGCATTCAACTCACACGATCAACTTGCTAAAGCCAGTACATTATAAAGAGGTGCACTTCCTTGAGAAGCACGCTCCTTCATTGATAGAATCTATCTGTTTATATTATATTAGCTATCTATCTATATATTTATTTGTCAAGATATATTCCCGTCTAACAACGAGCCAAAGGTAATATCTGTTTATTTTATATCTCGTGACGCTCCTCCCTTCACCCAACCCTACAATCCCGAATTTTTAAAACAAACGAACAAAGAATCTTACCATTTTGCTATTTTAAAGGTACCACCCACCGAAAATTTTTGTTTAGTTTTAGTAGAGGTTTTACGGCGCTCGCAACTGCATAAGGTTATATGAGCAGCACCAGACCGAAAATTCTGATACATTTGATACATTAATTTCTTCCATTCACCTCTTTATGTTCCAGAAACACTTCTGACGTCATAGAGGTCAATGAGGGAGCTGAGGAGGCATCGTTCTGGGCTCTGTTGGGCGGACAGGAACCATATGCCTCCGGGAGGCAGCTGGAGGTTAGATAAACCGTGACAGGCACTTGTCAGTGTATCATCAGCCTGGCTAAGATTAGGGTCAGTTTGTAGATGTTCCCGTAGCCAAATTATGAAGGTTGTATACAGTGGGCAACAGGTGTCGTACGTCTCTGTTGGGAAATAAGGCCAACACGTTTGGAGCCGGATGGGAAAGTAGGTGTGTGTGTGTGTGTTTGTGTGTATTTGTGTGTGTTTGGTGTGTTTGTGTGTGTGTGTGTGTTTGTGTGTGTTTGTGTGTGTTTGTGTGTG